TATATATATATATATATGTATATATATATATATATATATATGTATATATGTATAAAATCAAAACATTCTAGTGTGCACACAAATTCAGTAAGTGGCACTCTTTGCACTACAGAATTCCAAACAATAATTTTCGAACAATATGCATATTCAATAAATATAAAGTTCCATATAAATTACATTCATGAAAAATCCAATTGATATGCACTATATAAATTAGTTAACATGAAATGTAAAAAAACAACTAATACAAAGAAGTGCTCAATAAATATTCAAGGAACCTCATGGTTCACATATGGGTTCTTCAAAGCTAGTCTGGGCATCTGTTTGTATAATCAGAATTAAGCAGCTACACAACAAACAAAGACATCAATGAGCTAACATTAAGCCACACAGGAGAAACACTCACCAATTCCGTAGTTGTATGTCACACAAACAGGTTTTTTTTTATTTCATCTCGGCTAAGTAGTTAGCTCCTGCAGCTCTGCTTCTCCTAACATGCCATAATCTTTCATACTTCCTCACTCCAACTAATATACCTAGCTGATAAGGCTGTTGTACATCTGACCCTGATACTCAAAATTCACAGAATGATCACTGGGATCTTTCTCCATTATCTAAATATGTAACTGGAAAATCACTGGGATTTACACCCGGGTTACACATAGGAAGACGTTACTTGGATATAATAAAACCGAATACCTCCGGAACAGCTTCAAATGACACAAAACTAATATGGGTGAGTAGAACATGATGTACTAACGTAAAATCGAAGGCCCAATGTAAAAAATAAACAATGTTCCCCTTTAAATAACAAAATATTTTATGGAGCTTATCTACAAACAGCAATTAGGCGATTTATTTTTTAAATTAAAATTAATATTTAAAAAATTGCATGATTTAGCTAACTTTTTGAATGGACTGTGGAGATGGTGGCACCTTATATCTCTAGATGGGTCCCTTTCCATTAATAGGCTTAAGTGCAGCTGCAAAGAAAGAATCAACATTCTTCCCATTTTGACAGATGAACAAAATAAGAGATGGTCTTTGATCTTTTCACAGTCTAACTCTCTCACATTTAAATAGTGCTATATTTAACATAAACAGGAAAAATCAGCTGTTTAGCCTACTCTTCAAGCCCCAATCCTCCCAAAACAACACCAGAATCAAATAAGTTCTCTATAGGATTGCCCAACAGTAAAATAAGTTATCTTTGTATAAATCTGTTTAATCAGATCTTAATGTCTTTCCATAAATAATTAATGAAAATTTGTTTGGCAAAATATCCTTATCAGCACATTAATATTGGTGTTGCCATGGCATTTAACTAAAACTGTGTGCCTTAAACAAAGTTAGACCAACATGTTTTATGCCTGATGTCTGATGAACAAAATGGCCGAATTCCTGTGGGGGTTTAGGGCATACATCCAAGGTTTTTTGTTAATGATTTTAAAAGGGATGCACGATATTGGGATTTTGGCCAATATCCGATATGCCGATATTTTAAAACTCATGTAGCCGATAACCGATATCGATACCGATGTTAAAGCTGGACAAAAATAATTAGTCATTGAAAATAGCAGTTTTGTTATCCATTTCTGACACTTTGAAAATAATATACTCAAATATATTTTATCGATCTATTTTACTTTCAAAATTTCATGAAATTT